TATATAATAATAAGATATATATAGATATAAGATAATATATATATATATATATTCCGCATACGAATTACTTGCAAGTCCATTTGGAACTGTGTTATCCACAAACGGATAAATGATGCTTGAAACTTCTTCAGTTGAACAGCAGATCAAAGTTCTCTGAAGTTTCTCAGCATTAATAGTGCACACGATTTTAGGCTTGCCTGACTTACAATGACCGGCCATGTAAAGCGATACTGGTCTTTATTCGACAGTTTGAGCTATAACAGGCTCTCCCATTTGTACACTAATGATAGCACAAAGTCCAGACATCAGACAACGATTCGCTACGCAAAAAATCATACAAATTTATAAGTAGTAAATTAATTTATTTAGGTCAATCTAATTTGTAACTTCCAGACCAACGCATAACATTAAGGGAGCGCCGTTCCAACAGTCAACTATAGATAGCATAAATCACATAAAGATATGCTTAAAAATAAGTTCAATTAGGGCCTGAATGAATGTAACCCATATGAATGTTCCATAGTTGTCATTGATCTGGAACAACGTTTAAGTTGGGGTTGGCAAAAATATAGCTCTGGAGTTAGCGTCAGAAGAACTGATGCCCAGTTGTGTGTAGATAACTAACTCTTTACTGTAGCTAGCGTCTAAGTCGTGAGCATTTTTCTGATGTATAGAACACACCATAAGTCGACGCTTATAGCGTACTTGGTTTTTTTTTATCCATTTGTATATTTAAGAGTTGATTAAGTAACAACTTCGGTCCTCGCTATTTGTAGTACCAATATAGAAAGAGTAGGTCAGAGTTTGCTTCGAATTGCTCATTATTGTTGACTCGTATTTCCCACTTCCATCCAGCTCTTCACCTACGGAATAATTATACCTTGTGATATTCGCGAGATGTAATTGCAGGTTTGGTGATATTTCACGTTTACGTATTTTCTGACACGTGTTATCTTGGAATTCCTATTGATGCTTCTCAGTGACAAGATAATGCTGTGTAATAGAGCCGACTTAGGCCAAATGTACCACCTAGTTCGATAGTTTATCCTTTCCTTTTCCTGGCACAAATTCGACGTTAGCGAAGCAGGACCCGCCGCGCAAACAACCCGTCAGATCGGCAGTCGTCCGTCGAGTGAGCGAGCTCTCGACGCCGTTGACCGCGAGATGGCGCTGGTTTTAGTCCATACAATCTTCCCTTTGCCAGCCATTTAGGGTGCTTTGACGGCAACCGTGCCATCCGTGGTGGCAATGATGATGGCCGTGGCCGGACGGAGGCTCCACCAAAGCCACCATCATCGCCACTGCTACCATATCAGCCGCTAACAGCGGCAACTACCGATGCTGCTGCTACTGCGCGTCTAGCGGCACCAACATCGGCTGGCACAGGTTGCCTGTATGGGCGGCCATATCTAGGATACGATTATGTACGTCGACTAAACTGGGAGAGCTCTGCCCCCTGTTATTCCCTGCTACTCCCTAATCTGAGTAGCAGCTGCTGCTGCTGCTGCTGCTGCTGCGTTGGTGACCGACACACATCCCTGCGCACTAACACCCGGACCGATACACACACATACACACACATACGCACACAAAGGGAACATATGCCAGCAGCGGACCAGACAGCCAGATCCATCCATGGCCTGCGCCACAGCTGATGGACAGGCGCCGTCGCCGACAACCGCGGGGCTCGGTTACTAACCGATGCCGGGCGGCTGCCCGTTGTGGCTTGCTTGTAAGATGGACTGATGGCACTGCATCTGTGGTGGCACAGCATCAACATACTACGTTGCAACTAGCCCAATGTCACGTAATGAATAAATAGGCCAAACTAAGTAAGTCACATTGCGGGCAGGCCTGCTAAAGTTAAATAGTTTAACACTTCATATATATATATATATATATATCTCTGAATAGCCCATCGCCATAGCCAGTTCTAGCTTGCCGGTTTAAGGGAAATCTGACGCGGCGGCTGCTCCTAGTGCTGCTGTTACTGTTTTCAAACTAGAAACACGAATAGGTAGGCAGTAAGGAAAAGAACGAGGGAATTTGAGGGTACGAGAGCAGGGGGTTAGGGAAAAGCACAGACCCTCGTATATATATACATGTTATCAAAAAGGGCTAAGAATCGCACCGGGAAGCGTAAGACATCTTTGACTATAATATTGCGACAATTGGTAGCAACACAAGCGATGCTTGCAGGACACCACGGATCATCAACCCGGCAGCAATCTATGGATCTGCTTTCAACTAGCCTAAAGGTACCGACCAGTAACCCTGTAAAGATTTACTGTTATATAGTTATGCAGAAACCAAAAGGGGTGTAGAAGCTGGCTGTAAAATCTAGTCCCGATGGCTGTCATCAGAGTGATCAGAATAATGTGAAAGGAATGCAAGTTCCGTCACACATTAAATAGAAATAATAATGCTCAGTAATGCGATTTTGTTCAAGACAACTACGTTAAAAGCAGATAACTTACTGCCAAAGTATCTAGCTGAGTCAGTATTTTTTTTTACTGCAATCAGGAATATTTACTTGTCGGTGGACAAAAATAAATTAATTGGAAAGGGCAGCAGGGACTTGAATCAGGCGGACGGATAATCAAATCTATCGACGATTTAAATTTGTGAATGCCAACTGCCCCAACCCTGCTGCTCGTGATGGGCACACGAACATGGCTGCCACGTACAATATTTACGGGTATAGCATGCAGCTGGCGGACTAGTTCAAGAGATTAATGTTTTTCCAGCTCTGACTACGCACAATTATGACACGAACTTTTCATATTGCAATACTACTATTTATCATTATCAGTATAATTATTATCAGAGGGTTCCCCTTGACAGCATTGTTGTTCAACTGATGAATCTATATTTAAATTTAGCATAATGTTCTACCGATAAACCCGTCAATAGTCCCTCAATGACTAAATAGAAATTTGTTTGTTAGTCTTGTTGAAGCTGAAAATGCAACGAAGTTCTCAATAACGTCACCCAGCGACATTGCATCTATCGCCACAATGGCGGGCGCGAAAGCTTTCGCGAAACAGCTAAAGTTGAGTAGCGGATATCTGGATGTATTTAGACAGACATCAATTGGTTTACGAGCCACGAGACACTGCTCAGCGGTAACTGACTATTGAGGAGCATGTTTCCGAGATGAAGATACCGTGGTAGAGTACAAATAATATGCCAGCCACCATAAAGGGCAAGATAATAAGAGAGCGCCTATTACTATCACACTTGAATCATCATAGGTAAAAGAATGCAAGGCAAGACACACGATTGGACCATGAACTAGTTGCCAAAGTAAATAGTTTTTTTGACACACATAACGAGCACAGCAAGACGAGACCAATCGCATCCCAAAACGATTAACCTTGCCCGGATATAGATAGACGTACGATCTACAATGGCGGACGTCATTACGTGCCTGGGGTCTCATTAACCAGCACTAGGACGTATTATCGTCAATAATATTGATACGACACAGTAGAATTAACGGTGGCTATTTTTCAATAGAGTAGGAAATTAGCGTACTTAAAACAAGTATTGCAAACGTAAAAATCAAACACCAAACTGCAATGTTTTCCAAATTCATTTCGCGGCGTATTTTGTTATTAAAGTTCCTTGTGCGTTCCGTAAGGTCATGTTATTAATGCTTTTCTACTTTTGCGTAACTTTTGTACGATTTTCCCGTGTCGTTTTCTGGCTTGGTCTTTACGTCGTCACGCCTAATCGTGTTTACTAACAGCCGTTTCCGTTCCGTCTGCGTCTGTTGCAAGTTATTCATCTGTTCGCTCCGCTTTATTAAGCTTTTTAAGGTACAGCGCACGTCTACTCAAACGATAAATTCTACCTTGCAGCCCTCACTCTATCTTAGCCATTATGACTCACGCTCTTTCGGGGTGTACGCGAAGCTCGAAACTGAAGAATTACACTAACACTGTATTATCCAGCGGGCGAGTTGTTGACATTGAAAAGTTGAACAACAACCGGAGTATCCAAAATGGCGAAGTAAGATTTTTTTTTTTTGTTGTTAAATCGCTGTCCGCGCTACACTTCACCTGTTGTCGCGAACGTCTCGTTTCTCCGTTGACGTAAAAGTTAAAGTTGCTGCAGTTGTATTACAATTTCTAAGTTTGTCCTCGCTTTGTTTGCTGCCGTTTCACTCGCTTGTTACACTTCCTTGGGTCGCTTCTCTATTTGTATTTACTAAGGCAGATTGGAGATGTATCACACACATGCACACTGTAGAATAAAGGGCCAAGAGGTGGTTGTCTGTGAGAACTCTAGGGAATTCAACAACAATTCCTTTAGATAATCACCAATCTCAGTGTTCCATCTATAGCTTATTCTTGTCGTCGCTAGTTGTTTGTTAGTAACTCCTTTTGGCTGCCACCACGGGCTTTTTCCAAGCGCCACCGATTCGTTCTATTACTCTAGTGATTTCTGCCGTTCATCCAACGCTTTGCGGTAAACTCCTTCCGCAGACTAACTGCCGTTGCTGATACTATTGTTGCCGTTGACGGCGATAATTTCTCGCCGCGCCCTAGCCGCTCTCAACTGCGAACTGAAGACAGCACCCACAGTTACGAATAAAAACGCCAGCGGTAGTTTTTCTAAAGAAATGGTCCAAATGCGTCTCGTTCCGTCCGCACGGCGTATCTTTTCGATGTCAATGCTGCTCGGCTGTTACTGCTCGCCCGACGACGACCACCGCTCTCTGCGGCAAAGTCGCCGGCTAGAACAACCACTGGCCAAGCAAAGGCTGTTTTGTCGGTCCGATCGTATGTCGATCTATCTATCGCTCTGCCTGCCTGCCTGCCTGCCTGCCTGCTTGTCTGTCCGTATGTCTGCGGATTGGCTCGGACCGGGCGCCACACACTCGGACGTCCAGCACAGCTAGTTGTATCAGTACTTGTGGTGGTAGTAGACGCAGCACGCAACAAGGCCCGTTCGCAATACCACTACTACCGAGAGAACTGCAGCAGCAATATCAATAATAGCCAAAGAATTAGGCTGGCTGGGGATGTCCGTTCCTCGTTGTCTACTAGTGTAAGACCACCGACGACGACAACAACAACAGCAGCAGCACCGATTGTAGTACACAATTACACTCTCGCAGCAGAAGGACACCACTCCAGTAGCGGAAACGATGTTGTTGGTGCTGCTAGTGATAGCTAAACAAACAGCCAACAGCAATAATAACCTACGGACGAAGTGGTAGTCGTCACCACCCGAACGTTGCTAGCCCTAGCCAGCAGCAGCAGCAGCAGCAGCAGCAGCGACCGCTGTCCGTCTGTCTGTCCGTTTATCTGTCGGCAATGGTTACCGTCACTAAGCAGCCGTCGCTTGTTGTCCAGATAGGTCCAACGGGAGGCAACGATAAGGAGAAATACACGACGACTTTTCCGCGCTACCTAGCTGGCTCACTTGCCTTACTCCTACTACCAGCCAGCTGCTAGAGGCGGTGGCGGCGGCGGCACCACCAGTAGTAGCTACTATGTTGAGCGAACAAGACACTGAAAGCACGTATGGCAGGCGAAGAAGACGACGCGGGCTGGCGGGTTCACGCAGCAGCGGCAGCACACACGCAGGCCCGCACAGCGAGGAGAGCGTACAACAGAACAGAGTAGTGGGGGCAAAGATCGACACAACTAACTCTCCGAGAGCGGTATCTGCCTACCCCGCACACTGATCCGTAGCGTAGTAGAAGCCGTTGCTGTCGTGGTCACTGTGTGCAGTGGTTCGCTTGCTCGCTGCTTTAGCCGGTTGCACTGTGCTACTAACTCACTCAAGTTCGCCGCACGGCGCATCAACGACTCCACGGTGTGCTGGTTGCGCCTAGAATGAGACAGCTCAGCATCGGCAGCCAGTCAAAATACCGCGACCGGCACGCCCTCTCTCAGATGGCCGGACCCTCTGCCCTTTCCCATTGGGCCGCGTTAGGATTTCGATGAAAAATGTCCTACGGAGCCGGTTTTTTCACGACAACGCGCTAAATGAGTTCGAAAGCACGATCATGCATGAATTCCAACTTGTCATCACGTATTTTTCGCGAAATTTGCAAAAAACTGGGGTGCTAGTTCGTTGCGCTGCGACTCCGTGACGCGGCTAGCGGGGCGAGAGCGGCGAAGGCGCGGCGATTGGGCGAGAGTCGTTTGCGCGATTTTAGACCAATCGGAAGAAAGACTGTGAGGAGAGGGAAACCCACATATGCGAGGGGGGGGGGCTGTGTGAGAGGGTGGTTCCCCTGGCCTAGCCGCCCGCTGACTGCTACCTCTGCTGATGTAGTGCCGGTCAGGCACAGCAGCAGCGGCAGCAGCAGCAGCAGCAGCGAACTTGCGAAGCAGAGGCTGCGAAACCGACCACATCAGGACGACAAAGACCCGCAGGGTAGGACTCGCTTGCTCAGAACACAAATGCACAAAAAAGCACGATCACCACAACAAGAATCTGTTGGCGGGCTGATTGGCCAGCTAAGGCTAGGCTATTCGCCGCCGCTAAAAAACGAAGAACGAAGAAAACGAAGCCGATGGGAACATTGGAGAAAAGCCGCGCACCGTAAAATATTTAAGGGGCAGTAAATAGTCAGTGGGCGCGCATTGTAACCATGACAAAATCGAATAAGTCAGGAAAAATATAAAGGCAACAGTTGGCCGAAAAGCACCTAAATCCGCAAATCATAAATGAACCAGTGCAGCCATACTGCATTTGGCATTAACAGATACGAAGGTCTTCTTCAACAACTTGAGAAATTTAGGTAGGCTAACTTATGTAGGATAAATAAACGCATTCGAGCTAATTGCCCTGCCTTGTTGCAACAGGCTGCTTACTGGATAGGATCTGCATCTCTTGAATACGACAGCACCGATAAAACGACCGTAATTGGTTGTGCAACAGCGGTAGCCGCTATCTACCGAGTGAACCAAAAAGCAGATGCCCGTCGTCCAACTCTTTCTGTTGTTCCCTATTGATTACCTTCATCTTGTATTTATCATTATTGTCATCAGTCAGCGTTCAATAGAAGTTGTCGATGGTGTTACTCAGGTTACAGCGCTACAACCCGTGGATTCCACCTGCATTGTATATTGTCTTCAATAAAAGTCACCTAATAGGCACCTTGTTATAATTGTCGGCGTCTCACTATAAACGAAGCTCTACCTATGGATAAGGCAGAATGGCTTAACTCGAATATACAGTCAATTTGGTGACTCGCAAACTTTTCACATTCGCGCCATCATTGTGTAACTGAGCAGCATATTGTGTGATGTCAGTAACTATACAATAGTCCTATCGTTTCCATCCTTAGCGCGCACGTTCAACTAATGTCCAACCGGCCTTTTACGCCCCCCTCACCACTGAGACAAAAACTCTTAACTAAAACCTTTGTTTTGCGCGTTTGACCTTCTCTTTTTTGCCTCACGCAACGTTTGCGCGCAAATTTCGCTGGTTGGAGGACCCATTAGCTGGTTAGCAGGGGCGCCGGTAAATGGCCGATCTCAACGTTATTTCGCATTTAGCTCCCGCTAGCAAGGAGAACGTAAAACCCATCATATTACATGAGTTTTTCGTGGTTTAGCGTTTGCTCGTTACCGCTACGAAAAGCGTGAGATCTACCAACAACGGGTTGTCAAGTTGGCGTAGCCCGCCCTCTCGGAGCGCCGTTATGCACTGAGGAAAAAAGTGCTGCATCATCTGTACTTCATTGTCATCATGTAATACGTTTTTTCCTTTGTTGCCTTTATTTCTATTTGGATGATTGCACCTCTATATCTAGGTATATCTGCTTCGCTAGAGAGTTAAAGCAATAGTAAAATTGTTTTCTAGTTCGTTGCTCAAGCTTTTACGGTATTGCGACTACGACTACGACTACGACTACGACTACGACTACGGCTACGACAACGACAACGACAGCAGCAACAACAACAACAACAACAATAACAGCAACAAACAATCGCTAACGTAGCGGCTTAGCGCTCATGAGCGTTCTGTTGCCTGCCATTTTTTGCTGCTTGCTTACTCCCTGCACGCTGGAGAGCTTTGTCTCACAGCCACCAGATGGCGGTGCGTGCTCGTAGACCGCTTATAAACTGTTCAAACCGAACTTTCCGTATAATTTTACGTAGGCGAAATGCCATCACATGGCAATTTGTGTAGGCGATTCCTGAGGAGACGCTGATCTCGACGGTAGCGAAATTTCTGCAAAATTCTACTCGAAAACGCGAAATCGCGGTTCGCTCTAGAGAGGTCGCAGCATTAGTCAGGCTAAATGCTGGGCTACGAACGAGCGCCGGCAAGGAGCCGTTACCCGGTATTAGCAGCAGAAAGAACAGCTCAGCCGGCCGGCCGGCCGGCCGGCATGTCTGGGCAACGGCATGAACTCCGCCGACGGCGGTGAGCCCGGCTGTTTTCGCAAAGCGGTCGTAGTTGGCGCTATGCCCTATGCCACTGTCGCCGGCAGGCCTATCATGGCGCTTTCTTTCCGTTGCGGCGTGCTACGTAGGCAATAGTCATATAGCAACAATAACAACGTTACGTTGCAATGCCGGTTACCGAGATCACCGAAGTCAGTGTTATCACTGCAGTGGCATACGTGTATCATAGACGGCATAGCACGCGTTCGCTGATGGTTAGAAGAATTAGATTTTCGACTTCTACCGCTGGACGTATCGTTGCGCATAGCGTTTTTGTTGTTACTGTTTGTGGCACCTTCTGTCTGCTGCACATGCATAGGCACAGGTTAGGCAGACGCACGTAAACGCACACTCAATCGAGTAGGGACAGGTTTGAGCGGGTGCTGAATAAAAATGACAGACAAATGCCTCTAGTAACTACTACAGCAGTGGCGACAAACAGACTTCGATAACGAATAAAGCCCAA